CCCCCTCCCCAGTCCCTCACCACACCATTGTCTGTGTCCTTGGGTTATGCATGTATGCATATAAATTCTTTGGTTAATCTCTCCCCCTCCACCCATCTGCCCCCTCCATCCCTCTGAGATTCGTCAGTATGATGCATGCTTCCAGGTCATCAAATCATTCCTGTCGATCAGTTTATTAAGTTCTTTATATGTGAGATCATGTGATGTTTGTCTTTCTAAGCAGAGTAAATTCTTAATGAAAAGTGAAAGAAAATAATTTCTAGTGCCCATTTCCCTGTAATTATGCTCCTCTTTCATAGAAGGCACTCTTAAAGGAATAATACTCATATTTTTCCTTTTTCATACATACTATGTCACTTAGTTTTTTTAAAAAGTATACAGAATTACACAGTGCTCAAACCGTGTGGACATTCAGTGAATGTTGGCTTATGATGACAATGGTGAAGACAAGCAATAAATGAAAGCAGACAGAATCTCTACTCATGGTCTAATGTTGCTCATGAAATAGTCTTGAGTACTAAGGCTGGTGCCAGTACCTACCACACCCATAACTGCTTTGGCTTTGTGCCTGGGATCACCAGAATGAAGGAAAGATAAGTGGCTTTCAGTTACTGTATACGTGCTCATTCCTACATTATTTGTTGATGGCACACCTTTGAGAATGTATCCTTCCTAGACAGCTACTTACATCAGGTTCGACAGGGTAATAGGCACGAAGAAGAGTAATTGAAATAGAGGTGTCTCTGAAACCACCCCCAGCCCATTTGATATGCAGGTGTTTAGGCAGAACTGTATATTGTGTTATTTGAGGAGACTTCAATCTGGCTAAAATTAAAAAAAAAATTTTTTTTAAATAAAACAAAATAAAATAACAACTACGACATTCTGAAAAACAATTGGCATAAATTTACCGAAAATGTTTAAGTCATGAAAGACTAAAAACAAAAAGAAAAGAAAAAAGGGTTTGGCTGAGAACTGTCTGGATTAAAAAAGAATAAAGAGACATTAGTTTTAAAATGATGTGCCATTCTTAATAAATAAAACAACTATTAAGAACATTATTTTTTATGGTTTATTTATTTATTTATCCTTATTGTTGAAAGTATTACAGATGTCCCCTTTTTTTCCCCCCACTGGGCCCCTCCAGCCTGCTCCAGCCCCCTCCCCAGGCCTTCACTATTGTCTGTGTCCGTGGGTCATGCATATGTGCATGTAAGTTCTCTCTCACATTGATGTTTCTCTCTCTCTCCCTTCCTCTCTCTCTAAAATCAATAAAAACATATCCACAGGTGAGGATTAAAAAAATTTTTTTTTTAAAAAAAAGTAACGGTCGCAGGTCTCAAGTGAACACTTTTCATGGTCTAGGAACTCTCCTACACTTTCCGAGTGGACACACTTTCTCCCTCCCCAAATGCCTGCTTCACCCTCCCTTCCCACACTAACCCCTCTTCATGCTTTATCAAGGAGCAGCAGGATCAGACAGGATCCCAGCATCGACCCATCACCAAGCCCGAGAGCCTTCCTGAACCTGGATCCAGACTTCAAGTCCTTCCTCCACTTGTGCTCTGGATCCCAGTGCCTCTCTCTTCCTCAGTGATTCCCCTCCTGCGGTTGTGCCTCTCACTCTTCCATCAGAAGGTTCCCCCTCTGGTGCCTCAGCCCTAGCAGCACAGTGCCTTTTCCTGGTTGTAAAAACCATGCCTTGATTGCAGATCTCCCTTGAGGAACAGCCCCATTTCTCTGTCCCAGTCAGAGCCTGGAAGGCTGCTTAGTCGAGCTGTCCGTAGGCACTGTTTCCACTTCTCCACCTCCCGCTCACTCACTCTTGTTGCGCTTATGGAAATTACACTCCACTGAAGCTATTCACATCAAGGTCAAGAGAAGTTACCACCTTAACTTAATGGCAGCGTTGATGACAACTGGCCACCCTCCTTCCTCAGACATGGTCTTCTCTGGATTTGCATGCTACGAAGCTGCCCTATAGCCCCCTAACTCATGGGTGCTGTCTCTCAGGCCTCTTGGCTGGCTTCTCTTCTGCTGTACCTCTACCTGCTGGGTTCCTCAAATCCTAATCACAGGACCTAGTTTCTTCTCTATCTAATCCAGAGGCTCTCAAGTTTTTGTGTTACTCTGGCAATCAAGAGAAGCCTATGAATTCCTTCTCAGAATGACATATTTAAATGCACAGAATGAAGTTCTTAGAATTACACAGGAAACTATATTAAAATATAATTATAAAAATATTTCAAAATAAGTGCATAATATCTTTATTAACACAAAAATAAAGCAGTGCATCTCAAATATAGGTAAGCTTCAAATCATATCTTATTATTTTAAAATATCAGTGTAAAGGCTTATTCAAGTTATTTCTAAACTTGCATAAGAACATTAAATTGTAGAGTGGTGTTTGTTCAACAGGACAACATATGTCATATACACGATATGTTGGAAATTCCATGAATTTCAGATTTTTATTTTGATGGTTATAAGTACTGAAATCTTGATTAGTTATGATATATAAAAATGGATAAATCATTTTTATTCAAGGTGTCTCAAACTTGGAATTTCTTTTCTTTTGGAAAAATTAAAGCAACTGCTTTAATTCAACAAGCACTTAAGTCTTGTTCTCTGGAAAAGCCAGGAAACCATTTGCTACAGATGTACTTCATATTTGTGCCCTCTTTCTGGACAACTGTTTAAATGCAGTGATTCAGAGGATTTATCAGAGGATAACGGCAATGACCTTTATGGCTGTTGGCAAAGCTTTCTCCCGGGATTGTAAAAACAGTCGTAATTCCCAGTGCATGTCTGTGTAAAAAGCAAAACAACAAAAAGCGACATCATGAGGTGCTTCCTTTTCCGTTAAGGTAGTAATACTGGATCTGTTACCAAGTACTGCTGGGACTGGTTTTGTAAGGAGTACAATGCTTTTGGGAAAATATTTTTTTTTAAAAAAACAGAGCCAAAGAACAACTTTTTACCATATCCAATATGTCAACAACCTTGGTAGTTTCCAAAAGAGACTCACATACTAGGAATTCTTCCAGGCACATACTCAAGGGGAATGGTGAGGCTGTCAATTTCTCCATTGCTTGTT